CCCCCACCCCCTGCCCTCCACCCGCTCCCTCTGCCCAGGCTTCCTGGTCACCCCGTACCTCCAGCTCAGTGTCTCGTTTCCCCCCAGCCTGGCCACCTTCATCCTCTCCCTCTCCCAGAGCAGTTCTCTTGGCCCCCATCTCCGGCTCCAACATTGGGGTCCCCCAGCCTGCCCCTGCCTTCTCCCCTACAATGCCGGCCCGTCTGTCTCTGCTCCTCGCCAGGCCCCTTCCCCACTTGCACCCTGACTCAGGCAGCGAGGACACCCCGTATCTCGGGCAGGGCCGACCCATTCGCTCTCAGCATGTCCGCGCCTCCTCCCGGCCCGGCGCCAGCCCCTCTCCTCCGGCTTGGCCACTTGAGCCGTCGCTCTGCTGTCCCTGGCCCACACCGACACTCCCCAGCCCAGGCTCCCGCCTGGCCCTCAAGGTCCGCCTCCCCCATCCTCCCAGGCAGGTTCTCCCCACCGGTCTCTGGGCCGCCCCTGCACCCTGCCCGCAGCCTCACCAGAAACCAGCCCTAACACGCCAGGGCCCCATCCCTCAGGTCGCTACCGGCCGCCTCCTGCTCCCTCGGCCCCGCCCAGGCCCCTCCCGGCCCCTGGGGCCCTCCCAGCCTCCAGCTCCCCTCCCTCCCCGCCCCTCGGACTGGCTGGGCTGGGCAGGGCTGGAGAACAACGACTCGGCCACTGCGCGGGCGGCGAGGGCGAGGGCCGAGGGAGGGCCTGACCCGAGGCCCAGGTGCCGGCGCTGGTGGGAGCAGGACCCAGAGGTAATGCGGGCACAGATGCCTGTTTCTCCGTCCCTGGGTGGGGAGTGCTGGGGCTCGGGAGGCCGGTTTCCGCGGGGGCTGTTGCTGCGGGGTGATCTTATTCCCAGCCAGGGGGATGAATGGGGTGCCAGCCAGGGTGGCGTCTGCTCCCTGGGGCGGGGATAGGAACTGGGAAAGTGGAAGGAAGATGAGCTGAATTGGGGAGAGGGGAAGCCGGTCTCGGCTGGGCAGGCTTGGGGCGCGGAGTGCAGAAAGGCCTTCTCAGGGGCCGGCAGGGGCTGTGGCCCGTCCCCACACCCCCAATGCCTCTGTGGCTCCTTTGCAGCTCCCGGCCGCCCTCCCCTGGGCTGGGTCATGCGCTGCCCCAAGTGCCTCCTCTGCCTGTCAGCGCTGCTCACACTCCTGGGCCTCAAAGTGTACATCGAGTGGGTCTCAGAGTCCCGGCTGAGCAAGGCCTATTCTGGACCCCGCGGCACCCCGCCAGGCCCCACGCCAGCCAGCCCCGAGCCCACCTTACCGGCCAACCTCTCCGCCCGGCTGGGGCAGACCGGCCCGCTGCCCTCGGCCTCCTGGAACCAGCAGCAGTGGCGGCTGGGGGTGCTGCCGAGTGGGGAGAGTGCTGAGGCGGGGGGCTGCCAGGCCTGGGGGGCTGCAGCTGCCGCCGAGATCCCCGACTTCTCCTCCTACCCCGAGGACCTCCGCCGCTTCTTGCTGTCAGCAGCCTGCCGGAGCTTCCCACAGTGGCGGCCTCCAGGAACCAGTGGCCAAGTGGCCGGCTGCCTCGGCTCCGACGTCCCCTACCTGCTGCTGGCTGTCAAGTCGGAACCAGGGCGCTTTGCCGAACGACAGGCCGTGAGGGAGACGTGGGGTGCTCCGGCTCCGGGCATGCGGCTGCTCTTCCTGCTGGGGTCCCCAGAGGGAAAGGGGGGCCCTGACCTAGGCTCCCTGGTGGCCTGGGAGAGCCGCCGCTATAGCGACCTGCTGCTCTGGGACTTCGTCGACGTCCCCTTCAACCGGACGCTCAAGGACCTGCTGCTGCTGGCCTGGCTGGGCCACCACTGCCCCGGCACACACTTTGTCCTCCAGGTTCAGGACGACGCCTTCGTGCACACCTCTGCCCTGCTGGCGCACCTGCGGGCGCTGCCCCCTAGCTGGGCCCGAAGCCTCTACCTGGGTGAGATCTTCACCCAGGCCAAGCCGCTCCGCAAGCCCGGAGGCCCCTTCTATGTGCCCGGGTCCTTCTTCGACGGCGGCTACCCGGCCTACGCCAGTGGGGGCGGCTATGTCATCGCGGGGCGCCTGGCGCCCTGGCTGCTGCAGGCGGCAGCCCGCGTGGCACCCTTCCCCTTTGACGACGTCTACACGGGCCTGTGCTTCCGTGCCCTGGGCCTGGTGCCCAGAGCCCACAAAGGCTTCCTCACCAACTGGCCGCCAGACCGCACGGCTGACGCCTGCGCGCTCCGTAAGCTGCTGCTGGTGCGGCCGCTCGGCCCCCAGGACCGCATTCGGCTGTGGAAACAAATGCAGGACCCTCAGCTCCGCTGCTGAGCCTCCAGGGGGGCGGGGGGGCTCACCTGAGCTCAGGGCCCTGCCCTGGCTCGGCCTCTGTGAGGCCTGCGGGTGAGGAAGTCCCCGAGTTCCCTGCAGGAGCCACTCTTTGGCCCCCAGGCCAGCAGGGCACTAGGCAGGAGAGGACAGCAGACGATTTTTGTTTACTTTTTGATTAAAAAAAAAAAAAAAACTGCACGCCTCAGCCTGGTCTTTGCAGCTCTGGGCCTGGAGCAGTTTAGACATGCGCTGACCCGCACACCAGACACCTCCCAGCTCCGGGGCCAGGCCTGCCGACAGCCTCTGGCCACCTGCGGAAAGCAGGCTGCCCCTTCACGGGAGAGCCGACCCCGCCCTGCCCACATGCTGAAGAAGCTGACCTCCAGCTTGCACAAGTTTCCGGGGTAAGTGGGTGTCTCAACGGCCTCGAGCATCTGCACCCTGTGAAGAAGCTGGGGGTGCTCCCAAACCAGTCCTGCTGGACTGTCCTCCCACCTCCGAAACTCCAGGAAGCAGAGACCAGAGTCGGCAGGAAGCCAGATGCTGACAGTTTATTGACCATGTGCTGACCCCTCTCCTTGGGGAGGCGCCCAGGTCCCCCCGCTGCACCTCTCCTGCCTCGGGGGCTCCC